AGTATTGACTTGGGAGGCTAACGCTTGGGAGGCTTGGGGAGGGAAGGGGCCCTCCAATATCCGGATGTGGGGCAGGAAAACCCTAATTCAGACTCTGGGTTCCCCTTCCCCAGAAAGAAGGGAGGCAATAGTCAAGAGCACCCTGGACGACATAGGTGGTCCCAACTGACCTCCGATGGTTGCAAGGAGCCAGGACCAGAGCCTGCAGCTGGGGAAAAGGGCAGGCACCTGTCTCTGCACCCACTGGACCCCAGCATCCAGACCCCACACCCCAGGCTGTTCCCTGTCCAGTCAGCTGATTGGAGATGGAGCATCTGAGGGATGGTCTGCAGGGTGAGGGTATGAAGGAGGACAACTCTGGAGAGCCTAGAGACCTCTAGTTACCACGCCCCTTCCTTTCTCTAGAAGCTCAACTCCAGGGAAGTACAACTCAAGCTACTTCTGTGTCCTGGTTTGCATGCTGGGAGACTTGGGAACCCACCATCTCGGAAATCGAGTCCGGTGGTGAGGCTGCCCTCAGTGTACAGAGCTCAGGCAGAACAGGATTAGAGGGCCTCTGCTGGATGAGGGGCTAAAGGAGGGTGAATTTCATGGAGAAAGTAATGTGAGCTCCAGGCTGATGAGAGGAAGGTGGACAGAGCAGAGGTCTTAAAGTCTGGATGGCCTCTGCCAGGACAGAAAGGAACATAGGCTGGGGAGAAAGGGGGCATTCAAAACTGCTGCCAAGGTGCTGATGGACGCTTTCCTTCTGTTTTTCCTGGGGACACTGGCATTTGAAGTCAGCTTTCAGTGGCCTGAGAGGTTCCTAGAACCCCCTGTGAAAGTGTGGTCCAAACATCAAGAATAATAAAACATATGAAAACCCATTGAAGAGCCCAAGGCTCCAGCTAAGCAACTGATCCTCCCACATTGCCACACCAAGCTTCCATAGCTAGCACTCCCTGTTTCTGCATCCTAGGGAGATAAAGGGAAACCAGGGTGGAAGTGGGAGTGTCTGAGGCAGCTGAGAACCAAAGAATCTTGTTACCTGAGTACACACCTCTCATCAGTGCATAACCTGCCTCCCATTCCTCACTTTCAGGAAGTCTTGTTCTGAGTCCCACTCAAGTACTCAATGCTTCAGACCTATCCTCTGCAGTCATCTGGGTATCGTCTCTACCCACCTCCCTAGAGGGAGGGAGTAGTCAGAATATCTGACCCCCTCCATACCAGCTTGTAGCTCCAGTCCCCTTGGGAGGGGCCAGGAGCCGGAAGCCAAGAAAGAGGAACCCAGGCTTCCGGCTTCTCAGGGACTGAGCAGATGGGGGTGTCTTAGAGCCCTTTGTGGGAGGCCCAACTGCAGTAGCCCCACCATTGACTCAGGCACCTCTATATGGGGTAAGCACTCAGGCTTGGGGTAGAAGGCTGAGGCAAAGCTCTGACCAAGCTCCCTCTGAGGGACCTCTCCCTGAGGTTAGTGCAGAGGTTACAAGGTGGGCTCAGGTCAGTCAGAACTCCAACACTCTTCTCATATCCACCAGGCTCCCAGGCTGCAGTGACGGTCCAGAGCTGGCACCACAGAACCTGGGCGACCCCCTCCACCCACCCATGCCCACCCCACATGAGGCTGAGAAACAGGTAGGCACTTCCCACCTCTAATTGGGTTCCTGAAGCCCAAGATAGCATAACCTTGGGGGCACAGCCAGTTGGGCAGGTGGGCAGAGACACAGGGTCCAGTGAATTCTGGAGGGGAGGTTGAGGCAGCTCACTCTTCCTCAGCACACAGGACCAGAGGAGGCGGACAGGCCCCCCTCGATGTCCAGCCATGATGCAGCTCCCTCAGGACCCCCCAGTCGCAATCCCTGCTGCTTATGCTGGTGCTGCTGCTGCAGCTGTTCCTGGTATGTGGACCTTGAGGGTGCAGCTTGCACTGGGAAGACCCCACGGCATTTGGGCAGGGGTACATGGTTAATGAGGCACCAAACAGGTATGTGGGCCTGGGGAGCAGCTCATAGGAGAGGTACAGGGCTGGAATGGGGTGGCTTTTAGGGCTCAGACTCAGTCCTCCATAGACCCTCCAGAGTCTTCCAAGAAACTATTTGTAGGCAGGTGCCCCTGCCACAGCATCGCCCTGTCCAGAGACTGCTGGACCTTATTGGCTGGTAGTAGTGCCCAGATCCTCTGAGGGGCTTTATATGGCTCTTAAATTTTATGTGTCTGAGTGTTTTGCCTGAATATGTCTGTGTGCCACATGTATATCTGGTACCTGAAGAGGTCAGAAGGTGTTGGAACTGGAGTTACAAATGGTTGAGAGCCAACGTGATGAAGGTCCTGAGAACCAAACCAAGGTCCTATGGAAGATCAGCAAATGCTCTTAAACACTGAGCAATCTCTCCAGCCCCTTTGTGTGGCTCTTAAACCTGGTGTGCTGGGGGTATATTATATGCAAGAGCCAAGCAAGTGCCATGCATATGGTGTCCATGCACTCACCATATACCTGTTTATACCACTGAGAGCTGCCCAGACCCCTGATGTTGTGCAGTAGGGGACACATTTGAGAAGAGACTTGGATAAGGGAGCAGCCTGCCATGGGCAGAAAGGTACTTAAGGTTTGTGGGTGTTTGATGGTAGAAGTTTTCTCTACCTTACAGCAGTCTGGCCCTACATGGACTGAGGGATCTATTGAACAGGAAACCATCAAGACCTGTATATAGGCAAGATTCAAGGAATGAAATGTGAATAGGGAGGGCTTGTTGGAAGCTTCAGCTGTATTGTTACTGAGAAGTCAGGCCCGGTGGGAACTGAATTGTCTCCACACTTGTGGCAATGAGACATTCATTGTGCCAGCTGAGCATAGACTGACAGGGAGAAGTTTCCCTTGGAGCAGGAGGGTTCACGATCCAGGTACAGACACGTTAGAGGGGCTCTAACCTACATTAGCCGATGAGTCATATTGCTGATATTAAGCCTGAAGTGTGGTTTTTCAGTGGCCTGAGGAATGAGCTGGAACTAGGCTGAAGAGTATGGTTCTACCCAGCAGTCCAAAGAGAGGGAGGGATACCAGAAATCAGAGGAGTCTAAGTGCTGACTAGGAAAGAGGCCTCAGTGGGGGAACAAGAGGATGTGAGGAAGGCTCACACTAGGAGCTTCCTTGCAACAGACTTACTGGTGCTAGGCACCCACATGCCAAAGCATCCATGTAGCCATAGTGATGTGTAAAGAACCCAAGTACATAAGGTAGTGCCACTTTCCTTTGCCTCTAGGAACCAAGAACGGCAGCGAGCTTGGCAGGCTTCTCGGGAAAGCAAGCTGCAACCCCTCCCCAGCTGTGAAGTTTGGTGAGTACAGCCACCATTGTGTATGCATGAATGTATGTGTACTTGTGTGCATGTCTCAGGTCTGACATGGTCCGGCCCTAATGCCTGCAGCACTCCACCAAGCCCTGAGGAAGTACAAAGCTGGGCACAGTCCTTTGACAAGTTGATGCATAGCCCCACGGGCCGCAGTGTGTTCCGGGCATTCCTGCGCACAGAATACAGTGAAGAGAACATGCTCTTCTGGCTGGCCTGTGAGGAATTGAAAGCAGAGGCCAACCAACATGTGGTGGATGAGAAGGCGCGACTTATCTATGAGGACTACGTGTCCATCCTGTCCCCCAAGGAGGTGCGCCAAATGCAGGGATAAGTGGGGGTGGCCTGGGAAGGGCACCGCCCTACCCCCTGACCTTGGTGCCTGCCACACAGGTGAGCCTGGACTCTCGTGTGCGAGAAGGCATCAATAGGAAGATGCAGGAGCCATCGCCACACACGTTTGATGATGCACAGCTGCAGATCTACACCCTCATGCACCGGGACTCCTATCCTCGCTTCCTCACCTCCCCCACCTACCGTTCTCTGCTACTCCAGGGGGCCCCACAGTCCTCCTCTGAGGCCTAGGTGCTTGCCACACACGTATTCTACTCTATGGGCAGACTAGGGGCTAACCCTGCCCCATTTGACTGGAAGTAGACTCAGTCTCAGTGGTAACTGCAGTGTTCTTTTCTGCCCTAGCCTGCTCCAACTGGGGGTCTCCTAGATGGTGCCTCAGACCCCCCAGTCATGTGCCCAGGAGATGTTCTCATAGAGAACAGCCTCTATGCCAACAGGTTTGGAGCAGAACTGTTTATTCCTCAGAACCAGATGTGGGACCTCAGAGTCAGGCTCAAATGAAGAGCCCATTTATATTTTATATGTTAATGAACTTTAAAATTGGAAATATGTCCTTATTGTACAAAAGAAAAAAGAAAGCTTTCACATTCATCTGTATTCTTCCACATGCCAAAAACATGATATCATATTCTTGACCTTTTTAAAACAAGTTTCCGTTTATCCCACAATTAGAGTAGGAGGTTAGAGAAGAGGATCATCCATGTGCCCTGCCCAAGGTATGGCTCTCAGAACTGGCCTCAACTCTTAGGCTTGAGATGTAACTGGAGATGATCCCAAACCCTTGTATACTTGGTGAAATGTCTTCCCAGAGCCTGGTGGGGACAAAGCTGATGGCACAATGTCATCTTCATCTTACAGGTCCAATAAAGCAAAGCACCCACTACTTTGATTCTCCAAGTTGCTGGGAGTTTGAGCAATTTGAAGCTAGAATTGACCTCATCCCAGAGACCATCCTCTCCCATGTGGTGAGCAGAGTGAAAGACAGAGCAAAACATCCTGAAAGGGTACCAGGTCCTTGGGCTGCCATGTCTGGTGAGGATGGGTGAACACTGGGCAAAGTCCTGTTCTAACAAGTTCCATATGCCACCTGCCCACACAGCCAGCATGATGGCACACATATAAGCAGTACCACCAATGTCCTAGAATCACATGTACAAGTAATCTCTCTAAAAAACAGACATGCTCTTGCCTATATTACCCTACCACAGCTTAGCTCAAGTGTTTTCTGAGCCCAGAGAGGAGAGATGTCTAGGGTGATGGGAGGACAGGACCCAGCTGAAGCCTATGTACCTCCCACCAAGAGCAAGGCCAGAGGAAGGCAAAAGAATACATTTAATAATGAGGGACAAAGGGCAGAAGGGTGCACACCAGGCAGGCAGGCTGGGACAGGGCATGCCACCTTCTGAGGATCTCCAGAGAAGCTGTGTCCACCAAGAACATTGCAGGAGGGGGCAATGCTGGCCATGGCCAGGACTACAACACATCAGTACAAGGGTTCAGCAGAACTGCAGGAAGGCAGGGAAATGTCTGACCAAGGCCCCACATGACCCCCTAGGGCAGAAATAGGACAGGCATGGGGCTCCATCCCAGAGACTCCCAGGAAACTAGCTGGGTATAATGGGCCCTGGTTCCTACTTCGGGTCTAATATGTGCTGAGACAGGACTGGAGGTGAGCATTCTGGGCCCACCCACCTACCTTCCAGCGGTTCCCACATTCGTTGCAGACAACATAAGTGGTCATGGGCTCATCGGAGCTGCGGGTCTGCACCTGTAGGGTGGGTGGCTGAATTCCTGATTTTGCTGCCCTAATCTGGACAGTACTGGTTTCATACCCCCTGATCTCTACTGATGATTTGAAATTTCCCAGTGACCTCAACCTTTTAGAACTAGGCCTATTGGCTTGAACAACTGGGCTCAGTAGAGTCCAGGATGTCAGATAAGTACAGAATTCCCAACAGGAGGGTCTATATAGTGAAAGGATCAGCAGAGATGCCAGTGGCCCTGGCCATCTGGGAGACCCAAGAGAAAACCTTATCTCACAGGGCCAGTCCTTATAAGTAGTGAGGACTGAGCTACCCTGCCCTCATGCATGCCTTATTACAGGTGATGGCAGCTTCCACAAGCCCTGGAACAGTCTACCAGAGAGACCATCTTACTTCACTCACCTCTTCCCAAGTACCCAATATCTCTTGGAGTACACATGGTCTCCCCAGAATACTTCAGCCTCCCCCTCCATAGCAAGGTCTGAAGGTCCCATAGCCACTGCCAAACAGAATACTGCACTCCTGTCTTTCCATGCTGGGCAGGGCCAAGCCACCTAGCCCTGCCGCAGAACCCCAGACCAGCAAAAATAGGGACATGAGTGGTATCCAAGAAGAGGATGGGTGTGCCCTGAGGTCCCAGCCAAGGAAGATAGAGTGGACCCCAACCTGCGTGTAGGTGCAGTTCTTCTTCCTGCACTTGCTGCAGGTGAACAGGTCAGTCTGTGTGCCACCTGTACGGGCCATCTGATGTTCACGGATGGCCTCCTTGGTCATGGCCTTGCGGATCTCCTTCAGCTCATCACTGGCCATCTCCTGATAAAGGGGCCAAGTGTTCAGTCTGCAGCTCTGCAGAAACATCCTGCCCCAGCCCTTGCAGTGGGGCTCACCTCTGATGTCATCACAGCTATCTGCTGGGGTGTAATGGCACCACATAGCACATTCCGCCGCAGGCCAGGGTTCTTGGCATCTTTCAGGTTGGAGATTCGGCTCCGCACACGGTTCTTGTACTTCATGTCTGTATTTCCCACATCCAGGAAGATGCGTAAAGGTATTTAAGGACCCATCTGAGGTTTCTGAGCTCCATCCTCTCCTTGGAGTTATGGAATGAGTCTACCCACTCAAGCCCTGTGGGGGAACTGAGGGGCTATAGTGTTGTACCTTCTCTAAACCCATTCCTATCTGAAGCCCAGATCTACCTATTAAGTAGTCACAGCCTTTTACCCATCCATGGCCCAGAAAAGGTCAGGGGACCACCCCAAGAGAGCACTGGATAACCTACCAGTGGTGTCTAACAGCTACTGGAGAAGCACAACTCAGTGACCTACAGACTCTACCAGAAGCCTCTGACCACTGTACAAAGGATATACTCCTCAATCTGAGCTGACAGATGCTCACAGTCTACACCGACGGCCATGTGATCATCTGCAAGAGGGAGCCCTCATTAGCTTCCCCCACTGGCTTTTTCCACCTGCCATGCCTCTGCTTGCATGGAGCCCTAGAAGCTAAATATGACACTTGTATTCCTGAGAGACAGTTCCCAAGATACGGGTGTTCTGGTGACCCCAAAAACCCCAGCCTCCTCCCTAGGTCACAGTGGGCTAAAGAGAAGAGCTATGTGGCATTGATGGCACATGCCTTTTATCCCAGCACTTGGAAGGCAGAGGCAGGTGGATCTCTGTGAGTTTGAGGCCTAGTCTACAAAGCAAGTTCCAGGACAGCCAGAGCTGTTGCGCAGAGAAACCCTGTCTCAAAGAACTAAGATAGTTTTTTGTGCGCCATCTCTCTGGCAGCAACCTCTAAAGCAGGCAGAGGCCCAGGCCACTCTGTGAATCTGGACAAGTGTCAAAATCCAAAGGTGGTAATACTCACGGTCCGTTTTCAGGGCCAAAGTCAGCATTTCACGGCATTTGTTTCGTACAGCATCACAGGTGATGGGCACTGGGGGAAATGTGGTGATCCTCGGAGTGGATGAAGTTCTAGGTGGGTCTGGCTTCTTGCAGCTAGAGAGACAAAGCCTGCTGGGCTCAGACTGAGCCTGTTAAGCTAAGTCATTCTTCTCCAGTAGCTGTTGGACATCACTGGTAGGCTACCCAGTACCCTCTCTGGGTGGTCCCCAGAAAAGTAAACGTGGATACTATGCTGACCTCCAAAGCCCATTTGGTCTATCCTGACTAACACCCAGCTAGTCCCAGTGACTACATCCATCCTTAGTTCAGCCTAGAATGCCTATGTGCTCTACCCTCCTTGTCAGAGAAGGGCATTGGCTAGAAGGGCCACAGTGAAGCACAGATCACTCCTCAAGTGGATGTCAGATCCTTCTTCAACAATCAGTGTCTAAGCAATGCTCCCTGGTCAAAACGGACTGAGATATTCTTGCTAGCTCCAGAGTGTCTGCTTCCCAAGAAGCCCAGGACATGGGCCATTCTGTGAATGCCTCTCTGCTAATGGCAGAACCAAGCAGATACTTCTGGTTGCCTGGAGTAAAGATGAGGTGGGGGGTCACCCAAAGTCAAGTCTTAATGTCACAGGTTACCCCACACAACAGAAATGAAATTGGGCAAGGATCTCAGGTCTGGGTCCAGTAAAAGACTTACCCAACAGTCATGCTATACCCACCAGGCCCTTTCCTCTGGAAATTGGCAGAGTCAGGTGGCTTTCTGGAGCAAAATCAACTGTACAAGCGTGCTAATGACCTCAGGACATAACATCATATCAGGACTGCTAGTCTGGAGTCCAGAGCATAGGCTGTTGTGGCCTGGGCCCAGCCTCTAGCCACTGCTACCATCTGATCAAAGCAGCTTCTCATCCATAGCCTGTAAATAGCAGTGCCCCTAGTCTCCATGGTAACAGGTCTGCTCTGACCATCTTTAAGGCAGTGGTGTGACAACACTTGAAGTGGAGATATGAGTTGTGCCCACCTATAGCTCCGGATAGCATTTGCATGAGGGACCCATTCACCAATCCTGCTGAGCAGCAAAAACATAGAGGTCTAAGGAAGCAGGCAAGGGGGCCTAGGGCCAGGCCTGCTCCTGATGGGTAGCGCCTCCTTACTGAAGGTCTCAGTAATGACACTGACAGCCAGGCAGACACAGCCAGACATCTTAGATGGGCAAGAAAGGAACTGAGCAGTGGGACAGTATTCAGCACGAGGCTTATAACTTATAAATGGTGCCCTGGAGAGGGCCTCTCCCTCAGGGCAATGCCCAGGCAAATAGACATCAGCCTTCTTTTCCCACTGAGGAAACTGAGGCAAGAGGCAGAAATGTATATACCTGCCTTCAGATACGCTACCTGAGATCCGTAGTCCCTGAGGCATCCTTTGAGGACGATGTGGGCAGAGGTGTGCCCCTCCCTTGATCCCTGGTCTTGCCATCAGAAACATCTGCCATTATCAGAAAACAGATGGTATAGACTGGTCAGGAGCAGGCAGCCAGGTGCCAGCCTGGCCTCAACCTGGCCATTATACCTACAGCTTAAAGTCATTAGACAAGCAAGGTGCCAGGAGGCCACCAGACCTTCCTCCCAGTCCCCAGAAAGCATACCAGCCTTTTCAGGACCCACCCTCCTCAAGCCCCACTCAAGCAAGCTGCTGTGGGACTCTTTAGGTCGAACCTGGCCAGAAAACAAGCATATGCCTCACAAAAGGCTCCTTCTGAAAACATGGGCAGAGCCTTGCCCAAAACCTGAACTAGGGACCAGGACAAACTTACACTGCTAGCCTCTTGATGGCCATGTGACTGTAAGGAGGGACAGATCCTAGGTTGTCTCACAGAGGTATAGACAGAGCCCAGGAATGGTTGCCTTCCTAATCAGTAGGAGCATCTCTGCAGCCTACTTGTCCACTGTCCCCACAAACAGCTGCTGTCTGCTTAGCTCACCTTTTGCATAGGTAACGACCCCACCTCCTCCTTCTTCAGCTGGAGCATCCTGACCTGGACCTCCTTTTCTGTTGACCTCTCAAAGCTTGAAAACCTCCTTCCCAGCATAACCCTTGTCTCATTGGTCATGCCTCCCGGCTAACCCCCTCCCTACCACAACAGATGACATCCATCTTCCTTCATCCTCATCCACTTCCAGCCCAGCGATGGGTACTCTCTGGCCTGTTTTTTGTATCCCATAACCAGATAGCCTGAGTAAGAGCAACAGATCCAGCACTCTATGCTGTGCTGAGCAACAAGAGCCACCCTTTACATTCTGATCGCACCCAAGAGCTTCTTCCAGGATTTGATGAGGGACTTGGCCAGTGCAATGAGCTCCTCGTCCGAGCTCTGCTTCCGTAGGGCATTGACAGACATCCCAACACGGGTGGACTGCAAGGCAAGTGTCCTGGGTCAGAGGTGGTAGAAGCCTGCTCCAGAGGCAGATCCTCACTAAAGACTCTTGGCTCCCATAGAAAAGGGTTGGGAAATGGGCAGGGACAGAAAGACACCTCTCCCAGTGGCTATGATCTCATTTGGAACCCAGAGCACCCCCCTCCCACCTCAGTGATCACCAGAGAGAATCAGAAACCCTCTCCTTAGAGCAGTTGTTTATGCCAGCTAAACCTTGTGGGAATAATATAAGGAGCCCTGCTAGATGTTCTTGGAATTGCTGTCTCTGGAACCATTTTAGACCAGGACCAGAAGAGCTTACCTGGAGCAGGTGTAATGTAACAGGCATGGCCTTCAGCTCCCGCAGCAAATCCATGGCTCCCTCCTGGAAGGAAAAAGTACCTTCATAAAGGACCTTAATGGACAAACACACATCTTCCTGATCATTTAAGGGACAATTTACATGTCAGAAAGGAAGCCACTCCTCTACCTTGAGAAGACCAGAGCACTGCACACGTGGTCCTACATCACAACAGGGGCTTTTTACTGCCCCTGCACTAGGGCAGGAGTAGAGGCAAACAGCTTAACAGTGCTCTCCTCAAAGATCAGGTGGTTTCTCACCCTGTATCTGTGGTGACCTCCAGACCTCATGGTAACCACACCAGGTCACTGAGCAAACTACTAGAGAAAAAAAAAATGCCCCAGTTCCTGCTCAACATGGAAGAACACTCAGAGATATAACTCAGGTTCCTTAGCCTTAGTCCATCTATGCTGTGATAGTAGGGCAGCCTCTCCTCAAAGTGCCCATCCATCAGTGTAGCACTTCTCCTGGATTTTTTTTAACACACAATCCTGATTTTCTTCCTCTGCCCTAGCTCTATTCTTCGGTATCTATAGAAAGGCTGCATCTCGAAGGCAGGTTCCTCCTCTTCCTATCTTAAAAACATCACTCTGCTTAAGATGGCTCTTCTTCCTAGCAATTCAAAGCTTTATTCAAGCACCTCTTCCTACAGTGAGACAGACTCTTACAACACCCAATACTGTTGTGCTTGCTTTCCTCCAGGTTGCCACTATTAGCTCGTGAGCCTTTGCATGCCACAAAGAGGCAGAGAGAACCCACCCAGCCATTCAAACCTTCCATACTAGAGGCAGTGGGAGGGTCTGGGGCTGACCTCCATTCTGGGTTAATTATGGCCCTAAAGCAGATCCTGTTCTTGGGACTGTACACCAATCAGCCGTGAGGTGACTTCCAGAGAAGACCTGATCCTTAGAGCCGGAGGCACTCATCCCCAACAGCTCTGTACTCCCACCCTGAAGGTCCAAACAAACCACCAGCTGCTCCAAGGAGCCTCTCAGGTTGCTGCAACATCCTGGAACTTCTGCCGTTTCCCTTCTCCTACTGTACAGTGTACAGTTTCCTACTGTACAGTCATGTCTGTGTCTCTACCAGTTCCCAAGCCTCTATAGATTCCCACCCCATCTCCAAGTTCCAAGTTTGTCATTTGGATTTAATACCCTTAGAGGAAAGAAGCACCAGCAGGCCTCTGCAGCCTAGGTGATTGCGCAGTGGGGCTGTTTTAGGTGAGAAGGGGAACCTAACCCTCTTCCTGGCTTAGACCCCATCCCTCCAACCCTGACCAACAGGAACCCAGGGCAATCCTGCTCATCTCCAAAAGCTGTCCTGCAGCCCTCCACTTCAAGTACAGTCCTGGGGAGGCTGTACAGACTCATAACTCAGCCACCATCTGGGCTGCCCTGGGATTGGTGCCGCGGATGGGCGGGCCATACTTAGCCTTAAGGCCACCTCCTGGTCCCTTCCCACCCACGGAAGACAAGATGCAGGTACCATCATCCCCTAAGGATGCTCCCGAGTGACCAGGGTCGAAAGGCAGGCTAGAATGCCAAGCCCACAGTGCCTCGGGGCAAGGCTAGGGACAGAGTCAGTCTACTAGGGTCTCAAGGACACAGGTTCATTTCGGAATCTCTACTGTCTACCCACACCGACTTGCTGCTGCCTGAGGCCTGACTAAGCGGGGGTGGGGGTGGAGGTTATTAGAGAAACCTGGTTCTGGAGGGTGGGGGCAGACATGGGAGACAACGGCTGGGCTAAGAACGCCCGCGACCACCGATGGGCGATGGGGCAGTGGGCAGTTCTCAAGTCAGCTTGGCGTCCAGTGCGAAGCGGCAGTCTCAGGACAAGGTAGAGGGCGGGCCTGGGGCAGGGGTCTCGACTGGTCTGAGTGTCATTCTCCCCGCGGGTGGGTTCAGCGGGTCTCCGCGGAGCGGGGGCCCCAGGATCCTGGCGGCCCGCGCCCCTCACCGCGCTCTTCCTGGTCACCATCTTGTCCAGCCTCCGGGCGATCCGCGCAATCTCCTCCTCCTTGCCCATCACCACTTCGGTGGCAGCGGGTTGCGCCGGTTGCGCCGCCCGGCCCGACCTCGGCTGCCGCCGCCTAGATGCGCGGAACAAACCTCCGCTTGGCCGCCGCGTGCAACACAATTAAAAAAAAAAAAAAAAAGTCTCCGCCCCCGGGACCACAACTCCCAGACGACTGCGCGGCGTGTGGCGCGCGGCCCGCTGGAAAAGGTAGTTCCTCCGTACCCCGCGGAACGACCGCCTCACACGCATCCAACCCACCCCCGACCCCCACCCCCACCCCCACTCCGGAATGCCAGGGAGAGGGTGGAACTTGAGGGAAGGAGTACCATCTGAGCCGCTTGTCCTGGCGGTGCATTTCTCCTTCGCTGGTCGAGTCCGGTCCCCTCCACTTCCTAGAAGGGGCGAGGCGTCGGGACCTCTCATCTCAGCCCTACACCCGGCTGGACTTGACACACTTGCATCGTTGCCAAGCCAGGTTTGGGTCATTCTTGCCTCTGCGCAGATGCAGCGCACACTGGGAGGTATGGCCCCTGGACTCTGAAAAGGCTTCTTGGGCAAGAATTCAGGCTCTGAAGTCAACCTAACAAGGTGAAAATCCCAGGTTCTGCTCGTTGCTCTATGCCTCAGTCTCCCAGCCTGTGAAGTGAGGATGACAGAGTGATCAGGATCATCCGATTCCCGTTATACACTGAGAACAAGGCAAGGCAATTAGGTACCGCGGCAGTGCCTCAGAAACATCATAGCCATGCCCAGGGAAGGAAAAGAGGTACTCGGCTCCTCTTCTGTGCAGCAGATGGTGGCAGGTGCGCTGGTGCCAGAAGACAGTTATCTGAATTGTTGTACCCACAGTTTGCACCACGAGGCCAGGGTGCAAATGGAATTTACACATGGCCTGGGCTGCCCATTTAATCAGTTATGACATCTTCACCATAAGGAAAAAGTACGGAATTTCTTGTAGGTAACAAAGCTTTTCCAGGGGTGCAGTGATGGATGAACACAGCTCTCCAGCTTCCATACCAACTCTGATTCTGCCTTTTACTGGCGTCTGGGCCCTTGCTCTAAGCCAAACCCAACCAAACAAGATCTGGGAGAGGGAACCCTGTGTTTGAGCATTGAGTTGGTACAGCGCAGGCAGTAAAGGAGCCACCTGACCTTCAACCATGCTGTTTGGTTGAAGAGGCTGTCAACGGTGGAGTCGTGGTCCCAGTGATGAGCAACAGCAGCCTGTAGGTGGCAGGAGCAACCCACAAACCTGCTCGGGCAGTGGCTCCTTCCAGAGGAAAGTTCAGTAGATCACCAGCAGGGGAGCTATGATAACAAAAAAAGCCAGATAAAAGATGTGTTCATTCCTGAGGGGTCCTCACTTGTGGGGCTGGCACTGACCAGCCAGATATTTCCACATCCCAGCCTTAGAAAACCTCATTCGCTGAGCTGGGGCTTAGCTCAGTTGGTAGTGTTTGCTTAGCATAGAGGAAGCCTTGGATTCGATCAGAAGTACTGCATAAAACCAGGTATCACAGGTACCTGCCTGGGAGGCAGAGGCAGGAAGATCAGAAATTCAAAGTCATCTTCAGATACGGCTCCAGTTTGAGGGCAGCCTGGGCTACATGACAAAAAAACAAACAAACCAAAGCCCTAATCCCAGACCCTGCAGGAGCTCCAAATCCAACCTCCGGCTCTTGCTCAGAGAAGTCACTCCCACATCAGAACCTTCCCTACCCCCCACCCCCCACTCCCAGCCACACACCTTGCTTACTTTGGGAGTTTTATCTTCAGTGAACCTCTCCACCAAACACCATCTGGACATCACCAGGTGTTCATTCCAACATGGTGTTGTCCTCTACCCTAGCCCTCTGAAGGTGATGGAGAGGGATACACTTGCCTGCTTCTAGGAGATAGCCTTGCCTACCTTTCCATCCTATCTATCACTGGGGGCTTCCCCACGCCCCCAGAACACCCAGATGAGGCTCCTTCACAGGTCACCGTTTGGCTTTTGCACCCAACCTTCCTGGGGTACACCCAATTTTCTTTAATAGCCTGTCCCTTCCTTAGTGGATCTCCAACCTCAGGAGCTCTCAATGAGCAACACAGCCCTATCCTAGGGTCCCTGGGATGGAGATATCCCAGCCTGAAGGTCTGAAAAGGGCAGACAATACCCTAATGAGGTGGGATCATGGGACATCCCCAGGGTCTGCCCCACCAGGCCAACTGCACCTTTGGCCCAAAGCCTGCCCTTCCCCCTTCCTCAGTTCAGGAAACAGCGGAAACTCAAGCCATTTATTTTTCTATTTGTGATCCCTACCCCCCATCCCAGTCTGCCCAGAGCTGGCCCTGACCCCAGTGGTGGCCTGAATGCTTCCCCTCTGGCCAAGGCAGGGCGGTGGTGGGTGGGAAGACTCACACTGCCAAGCTCACACGGAGCCCCTTCTTTCCCCATCATCACAGACCGGGAGGCATCCTAAGCCCCAGGAGGTCCTGCTCCTGCCTCCATATGGTAGTCCCTCCTCTACACCAAGTTCTCAGGTCCTCCAGCCCATTTTGTGGCTTGCAGGTCTCCACCATAGGGCTTCGTGGCTCTATATCCATAGCCAGTCCCACCTCAGGCCTTCCGTGGACACTGGCTTCTGTGATCAGACAGGGCAGTGACCAGTGACAGATAAGAGTCTCTGGTCATTTGGGGGTAGAAAGTGGAGGCTGGACATATGGATATTGGCTTTGTGTAGATGCCAGCTCTCTGAGCCTCAGTATCCTAGTCTACAGAATGGGAAGAGCCATGGGCTCATGGAAATGTCTGTTTGGAAAGTCCCCTGACAGCCCACAGCCTGGCTAGGGTCCAGCTTTGCCCCACCCCCACCCCCACCACCAGAGGCAGGGCTAGGGAGGCAGGAGGCATCCCCCAGAGGCCAGTGAGGCCCTAGCTGCAGGCTTGCTCTAACAATGTGAATGTGCTTCCCCCACACAATTCCCAGAAATGCCGCCCCCCTGCCCTGCCAGCCCGCCAGCCTGGCGGCCACTCCACCCTCCTACCCTAAGGAACCCCAGGCAGCCGCAGGGTCAGAGGCAATGGATGAAGCATGGAGGTCTGACTCAGAGGCAGCAAACCTGTGGAATTCTAAGGCAGCCTGCCTGCTTGCCTGCCATCCTACAGAGATCAGCCTGAACAAAGTCAACCATAGCTAAGCCCCTGCAGGAGCAAAGCTGTGCTGAGCCTGTGGGATGCCAAGTCACTGAAAACTCTTCTCAAGTCTCATTCAGAGGAAAAAGCAAGATCCTTCCAGGCTCCACTGGGCCTCTTGATCTTCAATCCTCATACTTCACCCCGGCCCTTCCATACACCTGCTCCCCCCACCCCCAGTGACTTTAAAATAGTTCCCCATCTGTGTAGCATGCTCTTTGTATGGTTTCTTCACATGTTTATTTCAGTGTGGGCTCAAAATCCACTCATGAAAAAACAGGATGTAGATACTGACATAGCCCCTTCTCATACCTAGTACTTCCTATATGGGCTTATTTGTGGATTTATTGATTTTTAGCCTTTCCACACCAGAATGGAAACATCTTACAGTAAGGATTGGGGCTGTTTGTTCTTTTCCAGTTTCCTACCTCAGAAGACAGTCTAGTGCCAGCAGGCAGTTCAGTTAAAAAAAAAAATGAATTCTGTCTCTGAGCGAATGATAGTGGAAGTCTCTAAACAGCCAGCTGGTTCCCCACCAAAGCCATTTGTCACCAGCCAGGAAAAGAAGGGAGAGAGAGAGAGAGAGAGAGAGAGAGAGAGAGAGAGAGA